AACATGTTTGTCGTATCTCAATCGGCAATCGCATGACTTATCAGCTGTTGGGTCACTCTTTCCTCCACGACCAGGTTAGATTGTCCGGCTGCACTCGGCTCGGCACCCCCGGCCGGAGTGTTTATTCCTTTTTAGGTTGTTAGCTGAGGATCTCGAGCTTCCCAGTGGATCAAACGAGTATTTCCAAACCACATCCCCACACGTATCATATTGGGGTGGATCTGAATATTGGTGTGGAACCTAATATGAGAGTTAACCTTAGATTTTGAACTAGATTCTAGAGTGGTGATTGTAATCTTATTGGGAATTGTTCTCCCCCCTATATCATTAGGTTACCTTATCCTCTTTCATGGGAGTTGTTTCTTGTTCATCATGTGAAATCTTTCATGTTGGGAGAATCTTCTAGAAACTTGTTATTAAGTAGAAGTCATTTGTGATTAGTTGGTGGAAGTGTTAGTTCAACCTCTGTTTCATTTGGATAAGTCTAAACTTTAGATCTTGAAATGTTTAATTTTGGGAAGAAATTATCTAAGGTGGGGAGATTGTAACACTTCGTACTTCTTGGACTAGTGGGATTGCTCTTAAGACTCTTATTATTATACTTGGATCCTCTTTGGTTCATTTTGGGATATTGATTGAGGTGGGATCATAATGGTAAAGTAAGATTGAACCAAAAACATTAATTCGGATAATAGTCCCATGAGTAGTCTTCACTCATTTGCCTTTTTCTGTTTTCACACTTTGAGTTTGGATGTAAGGATGGAACCATTAAAAAGCTTGTTTCTGGGGCTTCGATTTGGACACAAGAACGACGTAAAATGGAGTCTAGATGAAGGAGTTATGCTCATTTCAAATTTGAGTACCCTGTGTTGGAAGCAAGGTCGCTTGAGCAAATTTTTGATTTCTTGAGCGGTCTGCATGAATTTCAGAGCCAAGCTTTGACCGCTCGAGCAGTCTGTTCAATATCAGGCACTTTTAAGTGAGTTTTTGGCCCAAAATCAATTTTCTTTCTTTCTCTTTTCTCTCCCTCTCCTCCATGCCCAAAGCCCTAGAGCTCCAAACACTTGATTTCTTCAATTTTTCCCTTAAATCCACCCTAGATCCTTTAAGAAAATTGAAAAACAAGTCTAGTTTCAGATATCTACTGATTGTTTTGCATTTTCATTGAAATTTCAAGTGGGTTTCCATCTTAAGCTTCCATTCTTGAGGTAGGGATATCTTTAACTTATTATATCTTTAATTTGAGACCCACATGTGGTAATTTCATTAGATCTTCACCTTTGTAGATATATATATATATATATATGTGTGTGTGTGTGTGTATGTGTGCGTGTGTATATATGTATGGATTGTGTTTGCTAATAAATGATTTGGAAGGATGTGGGCAATAATTCATGATTATGGATGGAAGTATGTCCCTTATTAAGGATTAGTGTTATTGATGATGAAAATTAGTCACTAATTCATGAAAGAGAGAATACCTTAATTTTCTACAAACCCTAGTTTTGAAACTTGTTTAATAAAGAAGGGTTTTGCTCAATTGATTTTTAAAATATGAAATTGGGCATGTTTGTTTGACTTTGGGGTTAAAATATGAATTATCGGATTGTCATGATACTAATATGTATGAATGGCTTGAAGAGTTAAAAGGGCTTTTGCCCAATTGGCCTCCAGAACCTAAAATTAAGTGTATTTACTTGATTTTGATATTGAAAAGTTAGATTTTGAGACTTTTACACCAAAACTGGAGATGATGGTGTTTATGAATTGAAGAACCTTCCCATTGTTGACATGTGAACTAGTGAATTGTTGTGCATTGAAATCATTTTAAGGGAAAATGAGAATTCACAAATTCATACATCATATGCATCAGTAAATTTCTTTTATAATACAATGATGATTTGAAGGATGGAAATTTGAAAGAAGATAAATAGTCTATGAGTCCGGGTAGTGAGTCAGGTGTTTTTGAGTTGTGTCATGTATTTGGTAGCTGCGTGGGTAGTCAAGGTTTCCAATTGTCCTGTTTGTGCATACGGCTGGACGAATGTGGGAAAATGTTTTTAGGTATCCACGGTCCCACCGTTTCTAGAGTCGGCAAATGCAAAAGGGAAAAATGCTTTTGGGTGAAAGGTTTTTGGGTGCCCCCCCCCCTCAGGTTTCTGGAGTCAACAAATGTAGGACTATTTTCAGTATATAAAATATATATCTATGTATGTATTTTCAATTACGACTCTTACTTGGAATGTCATAGCATTTATCACCCCTGAAAAATCAAGAAATGTTTAGTTAACCTTAACATTTCCTCATTTCATACTCATGCATAAAGGTATTCATATGCATACATAACAAATTTTATCAAATGTTTGCATTGCATGATCGTGTGTATCTCAATTGATCATATAATTTGTTAAATATACTTCCTACTAAGCATTCGCTCACCCCAAAAACTAACCATTTTCAGGAAATGAAGTTGACAAGCCATCTAAATGATTTACTACGGAAAGCAATTTGGATGAAGCATGGATGCTCAGTCGTTTGATGTTTTGTGTTGAAGCCTTGGGGCTATTTTGTGTAAATGTGAAGGATTTTATATTTAAATCATAGACACTTTAGATAGAGTGTTGCCTTTTTTGTTTTATGTTTATATTTTATTTATTGATTTATTTATTTTTTGAATTCTCGCTGTGGTATAACTTCATAGCTGTGGAACTATTTCCTTTTAACTCTGGATGTAAGCAAACTGTATTGAAGTTTTTGGGAATAGTTCAATGGAGAAAAAGTGTTACGGAATTGTATTATTATATCTTTATCTATTGGTTGTATCTATGCGGATTGAGATAGGGGAACAGGCTTTGGGAGGTGTTTTCCCAGAGTGTTACACCTTACATCCGTTTTCTTAATTGCATATAGATACATGCTTATATATACACACACACTTATATGTATTTTTATATGCACCATGTATTGTACTTTGTTTAAGTTGTAGTAATTTCTTAACAGGTCGAAATTTGTAATCTTCAAGATGCAACTTTTCCTAATGCTGTAGCGAAGGTAAATAATTTTATTGATATATAGTTTCCATAATTTTTATTTATTTGTTTTTTTGAATTTTATATTTAATTTACTCAATAGCTGTCACATCTTTTTTGAACTTTTCATGTCATTCTTTCATACAAACACACACACATCATGATTTACCGGCAATTCCCCAAGTCATTCTTTGGTAAATCAGATTCATTCTTCCAATGCATGTTGTATCCATTTCCCTTCAACATTCAAAAGCAAGAATTGGAGATTGAGGCAACCCAGGTAATTTATTTCTATTTTTTTCTTCTCCAATTAATCATCTCAATTTACTTTTGTGCTTCTTGTTTTTTTTTCCCTTTTGGCCTATATCTAGCTATATTAGGTCAGATTTATAGTTGCTCTGTTTCTGATTTGATTTAGCTTAAGGATGCATGCCTCTTATAAATTTCACTTGTTATCGGTTGAATAAATTGTTTAGCAACCTTTTTCTTTGTTGATTTTTGTATCAGTTTTTGCTCCTTGTTCACTTTTATCACAATGATTTAATTGGTATTATTGCTTTACTTTTGCTTTACAGGATTGCATCAGTGGATAAAAGATATATATCCATTTCTAAAGGTGTAATTTAGTTTGTTTGAATTTTTATAAAATTTTACTTTCTATATACTCATTATGGTTTGGGAATAAAATGCTTTGATGTGTGAATGTCAATTGTTAGTTATTTATTTTTATGGTTGGATGATAAATTTAATTTTTGTGAATTTTTAGCTATGAAGTTAAATGGTTATAAAATGTTTTTTAAACTTGACTTTTAGTGACGAAAATATATGATAGAGTCATTTATCCTTTAGCGACTAAAAATAATCGTTGTTAAAAATGTCACTATTTTGTATTTTGTGACCAAATTGAGACTTTTTGTGACATAGTATTAGCGACAAAATGTGCAGTTTAGCAAAATCAAACATTTTGTGACATTATAAAAGTGGTCGCCAATTGTCATTTTTAGCGACGTTTTTGAAAATTGGTTGCTAATAGTCAATTTTGACTTTTCTTGATGCACTTTTAGCAGCATTTCTGGTAACGAATTTAATTTGTGTTTTTAGTATCAAAGCTTCAAACCTTATTCCAATTAGGTTGGCACAAAACATGAAACCCAATCATCTGCAGAACAAACCATTACAATAAACTTGTGGCTAAAGAGTACACACTCCTCAAAATGTGTGTATATATGCACTATTGTTACGTATTTTTGTGATGTATGTTACATAATTTTGCGGTGAGTGTTTTTTTTTTGGTAGAATTACGACAATTTGTGATTCAGAAATGAAATTACACTTTTTGTACTAATATTACCAATTTTTGTGGTAATTTTAAAAAAAAAAAAAAAAAGAAAATATTTAGATTAAAAAAAAATGTGTAATATCACCACAAAAATACGTAATATTACCACAAAATGCATAATTTTATATATGAAAGATAAATTATCATAACCCTATCAAAAAATTAAATAACGTTTATTATAAAAATATATAATATATACAACAAAAAAACAAATAACAAGTGTATAAGGTGCGTACCATATAATTTCTCCACATTGCACCTCCCTAATTTCGTACAACTTTTTGACAATCAAATCAATAACAATTTGATCATGCCTCTTTTAACTTTGCTCTAGCACCTTATTTAATTTTAAACTAGTCTATTTTCACTAGTGAAAATAATATTTTTGTAATCATTAGATTGTTATGCACTACCTAAGCTTATTCTTGCACCTTACCTAATTTTGAACTACTCATCTTTTGGAAAGAATATTTGTGTGGACCATTACATTGTCATGCACTTCCTAACTATGTTATTGGATGCCTGCCTATGAATCCTTCAATCCTATTATTAATTTATTATATATACAATACCTATATAGAATGATTTCGGTCCCATACATTTCATCCTTAATCTTCTGCATGCCACTAGTCATGGCTTCTTTGAATCTATTTACAGTTGTTATGTTAGTGGTTTCGTCATTGAATTCGATCTTTCCATCCATTTTTTCTCTTGGGTTAATCAACTCTTCCTTTCCACCACCTTCACCTTCACCTTCACCTTCACCTTCACCCTTACCCTCCTCACCTTCAGCTTCACCTTCTCCTCTTAAAGATGATGATATTGGTTTTGTAGCACGCCTGATCCATCGCACCTTCCCTCAATCTCCCTTTTACAATCCTCTTGCAAATCAGGAAGACTTGATGGCTAAAGACATTCACATTTCACAACAACGCAGTATGTACTTTAGTCAACTCACCACCATCACCAAGGGAGAAACAAACATGATGGTGAGGGCACCCATGATGAGCAACAATTTCTTAATGAAATTTAGCATTGGTACCCCACCACAGCAAACATTTGCAGTTCCTGATACGGGCAGTAGTCTAATCTGGATGCAATGTTCGCCTTCTTTTTTTTTTTGATCAGCAAGAGAGAACTTTATTGATGACAAAAACATACAAATACATATGAGATGAACATCAATAAAGAGGTGGAAGAGCAAAAGCGCATCAAAGCTAACAAACTCAATCCTAACTAACTTGGCACCGAGAAGAAAGCCCAATAATCTACGAGCTCAACCACAAAGGGATGGTGAGAGACCATGCCCAGAAAAAAAAAAAACCCCAAAAACTCAACCCCCAAATCAAACCCACAACTCATTCCACACAATACATACCCACACAATTCAGACCACACAATTCACCTGCAGAATCACCCATAAGCAAAACACCAGACCAGAAGAACACCCCCAATGCCTTACAGCCCCTAGACATCCAATACCCCACTTCACAGCAGCAATCACCATGCAACACCCAAATAATTCCAGCAACAGGGCAGCTCCTAATAAGCCCACAGACCTCAATGCAGACCACACTCCAAAGAACTCCAGACCAATTCAATAGCATCATCTATAATCACCACCTAGCTAGCAGCAACAGTGGCAAAACCTGTGATGACTATATTCTCCACCCAGCTAACGGTAGCAGTGGCATCACCTATAATCACCACCCAGCAAAAGTAAAAGATTCCTCAGCAATGAATCCGGTACTCAGTGTTTTATCCACATAGGACAAGTTATATTGGAAAATTGATTTTTCTAAGCAAGTCAAGTACTTTAGACCTTCGCAGTAAAAATTTGCACAAAGTTGTTGTCTGAAGGTTGATGATTTTGCTCGGTTATAAATTGGTGCGATCCGATTCTGATTGTAGCACTTATCACAAGGCGAACACAACATATTGCAATGTTTGCCTTTTGATAAGTGCTACAATCAGAATCGGATCGCACCAATTTATAACCGAGCAAAATCATCAACCTTCAGATAACAACTTTGTGTAAATTTTTACTACGGAGGTCTAAAGTACTTGACTTGCTTAGAAAAATCAATTTGCCAATATAACTTGTCCTATGGGGATAAAACAATGAGTACCGGATTCATTGCTGAGGAATATTTTACTTTTGAAGCAAATGATTTTATTGAAAGAACCACACTCGAAAATATAGTCTTCGGTTGTGGGACAAGGAACATAGATGGCTCAGGGTTAGGCGTTCCAGGCATTATAGGTTTGGGTAATGATCGCGTCTCGGTAATTCGACAGCTGAATTATCCTTACTTCTCTTACTGTGTGACAAATGTGTGACGGATGAACGAATCAATCCTCGAGGATGGATTCACTTTCGACTTTTGGGGCGGTCAACGCCAATTACGACCCATACTAGTTTTTACTACATATCCATTGAAGGTGTATTACTGTCGGTGGGGAGGATGAGGAAGTAAATCTACCAAAAGAATTTTTTGACTATGGTTTTGTCATTGACTCTGGGAGTACTTATACAGCACTCTACAATGGTGCATTCGATGCATTAATTGAAAAAGTGAAGTCAATGTATGATGATGAAGCGGAGAAATTTGGTAATTATGAATTATGCTATGAAGAGATTTCTGATGTACCAGAAATAGTGTTCAAGTTTAAGGACTTGGACTTTAGGCTACGTGACCAAAACACCTGGCTACGTGCTCCTAATGGATTCTTTTGTTTGGCAATGTTTAGGGCGAACGAAACTTCTATTTTCGGAATGTACCAACAGAGGAGAGTAATGTCGGCTTTAATTTGAGACGTGAAAAGCTTACCTTGAAGTACGTAAATTCTTGTCCAGACGACGACGACGACGAGGATTGATTCTCAAGCGTAAATATACTAATTTGGAATGTTGTCTGTCTTTTTATATATATTTATATAGGTATGAACACATGGGTGTTGCAATCCACTGTTATGACATTTAATTAATGAAATTCTGAATTTATATTGCAGTCAGATTATACAGGCAAAAGTCTTCAATTAGATTTCTTTTTGCAGAACACTCTGTTTTCTTATTTTCTTTTTCTTCTTTTGCTGTCTGTGTTGTTTCTGTTGCCCAGCGGATGCCTTGAATTTGTTTATTGCCTCACTGAACTGTCATTTATGCAGAATGCTCTCTTCTTCTTCTTCTTCTTCTTCTTCTTCTTCACCTGGTTTGCCTTTTTGAAACATGTTCACAAGTATCTGATGTTCTTCACATTATTCACAATCTCAATACAGTACTTACGTCCGTTTCCAACGCATTCATGTCTATACACATATACCTCTAGTACAAAGGAAAACAACAAGTAACTAGCAACTATCTACTCAACAAATACGGCAACTCGACCTTCCAAAACCATAACCATAACCATCATAACCTACAGTATACACTAAGACAATTATGATAAATAAGTTCTGCTCTACCTGCCTTAAGCACGGTAAGCCAAGGATGTACCTTTCCATAACAAAATGTCAAGCCAATGCTATACCTTTTCATAACGTAGCCACCTGATGAAACGTTACCGCCCTTAAAAAGGTGCCCTATTTGAAGAACAACCAATTTGGCCTCAATTACTATCTTAATCTTGATCATCCTGTATCATATTGTAAGTTCCCTGGTTGGACCTGGTATAACTTCAGTAAATATAAGTATTTGAAAAGTAAAGACCTAATATGAGAAATTAAATAACATTATTATTATTATTATTATTGAATTTATGCTCTCAATTTCTTTTCTTTTTATTTTTTTTAGTGATAGTAATAATCTTACACATATTAATGTGTACTATTTGGGCATCATTTTTTGTGATGATCTTACACATTGTTCAATACTTATTTTGAGATTTTGAACATTTTACATAATACGATTCATTATATATATATAAACGATACAATTTTACTCATATTGTTTCATTTATATTTTTTTTACTCATTCTTAAATCCTATGCTAGTTGTTTGATGAATTGAGACAAAGCACTTAAAATTTAATTTTCATCATTGTGTTTCATATTGCAATTGCAAGTTCTTGATTGGATATTGTATGACTTCAATAAATACAGCTTTTGAACAACTTCTGCTCCTTAGTTTTGATTCTATTGCCCAGCTAATGCCTTGTATCTGTTTGCCTCACTGAACTGCCCTTCATGGAGAATGCTCTCTTCTTCTTCTTCTTGGCTGTTTGTTAGCCCACGTTGATAATCGATACAATATTTGGATAAACTACTAATAGTTTCCTTATAGTTAGACTTTTATCAAGTTCTATTGAAAATAAATTCTAATAAAATTGTTATTAAAAATAATTTTTTGTAACGATTTTTTGCATATATCGTTAAAAATTGACAATTAGTGACTTTTTTTTATTACGGTTTTTATAAATTGTCCTTAGAACTTACAATTAGTGACATTTTTCTGTAACGAATTTTTTAAATTGTCACTGAAAGTTTAAAATTAGTAATATTTTTTTGTAACGATTTTTTTAAATTGTCGCTAAAACTTATAATTAGTGACGTTTTTGTGACAACTTTTAAACTGTTACTGAAAATTAACAATTAATAATTTTTTGTAATAATGTTTGATAAAAAAATATCATTAATTATTATAAAACCTATTAAATAATAAATTCACCTATTAGAGTTTACACGCAAATCTCATAAATGCTTTTGGTTGGCCAATTTTGTGGTCTCATTCAAGTCTATTGTGGTGGTTTGGTTTCCTGTAAATTGCTTCATTATTTATTATGAGATTTTACCCTATACGTTTACCAGCTCATGTGGTTAGCTTTAGATGGCTTAGTGTTTGGTCTTGATATGGACCTAGTGGTTGATGTGGACACCTTAGGTGGCTTACTGTTTGCCCTTGACATCAGCTCTTCTAGTAAGGTAATTTGAGAAGGGAGAGAAAAAAAAAATCAATTTAATGGTACAAGCATAATAAATAAATAACAAAAATTAATTTTAAAATTAAATAATAATATAAATTTTATTTTAAATGTACGGGAAAATTAATTTTGAGTCATTAAATTTTAGGCATTTTATTAGAATTACACTTTTGTTGTTAGGTTCTAATCTTTATAAGAAACTAGTTTCATTCTCAAGTTTCAACAAGTGTTAAACATAATCTCAGTTTAAATTGAATTGTTAAACTTTTACAAGTTTCAAAAATTATATTTATGTAATCTAATGTTCCAATTGTAAAGTATAAACTATTTCTAGTTAAAAATGCTTTACAAATCACACCAAGATCATTCTCAGCTACTAATTTGGTCAAATTTCAAGGATTATGTACTAATCAAAACTCTAAAAGCAAAATATAGAACCATTGAATTATCCATAACTACATTGCATGGTTTAATTATTCGAGACTTAAAACTATTGTTTTTCCTCATAATCTAGAAATATTTTTTTTCCAACAACTTAAACAGCCATTTATTTTTTCCACTAAAATGAAACTGAGGCACCAGAGAGCTTCAAATATAGCACATTTACTCAAAATTATACACCGCAAATAGTTTTAAGTACACCATATACCATGAACATCAATTATCAAATCAGCTCCACATATACTCGTTTTAAGAGTATGGCTAGAAAGAAAACAAAGTTTAATAAGGGAGTATGATTATATCTAAAGAAATAACACCAACAACATTTGTAATGACCCCAATATGCATATCATGATTATATTTATTTAATTATGCATCAATTATTAATTGTGATATGTGTCATGGCATTAAATTGAGTATATCTGCTCAATTTGAAAATTATCTGTTGTGATTTCTACTCCGAATCTAAAATTGAAGGCCTTAATGATGTTAGAAACCGAAATTGGCTATCTGAATAGTCCAATTGGAATTTTTAGAACCTTATGGCAAGATTAATTAAAAATTGATTCAGTTTAATTAATTAAGTTGTGTTTAATTAGTCTGATGTTCTAATTATTGTATTAAACCATCCTAACTATATATATGAGCCTTAAGCTCATTCTTGAGCTCAACATGCTTCGTTCTCGAGTGCACAATCTAAGGAAGAGCTCTAGAGAGAGAGAGAACTCACATTCTAGAGAGAGAAAGTGTAAGATTGAAGGAAACTTGAAGAGTTACCTTGATTTGATCAAGATTGTGCTAGATTCACTACAACAAAAACACATTTTAGTGACATCATACTAGTGGCATGTTCTTAAAAAATGTCATAAAAAGAATATTTGGTGACATTTTTTAGAAAAATGTCATAGAGCCACAAACATATAAGGCTCTAGTGGCATTTCAATTAAAAAAAGTGTCACTTCACTATAACAAAAATGTCACTACAGCAAATTCACACTTTAGTGACACTACACTAGTGGCATGCTTTTAGAAAATGCCACAAAAATAAAAATTGACATTAAATGTTTTAGAAAAATGCCACAGAACCACAAACATATAAAGCTCTAGTGGCATTTCAATAAAGAAATGTCACATCAATTTTATAGCATTTATAAAATAATGACACAAAAAATTATGTTCATGACATTTACCAACAAATGCCACTAAACTTTAGTAGCAATGGCATTTTTTAGAAAATGTCAGGACACTAGGTAGGTGCAAATTACTTTTTATGGCACTTAGGTAAAAAGTGTCATAAACAAATATTTTATAGCATTTTGAGAAATGCCACTAAGCTAAAAACTTTCCAAGCTTATACTGGCATTTTTGAAAAAACAAAAAATGCCAATATATTTTATAAATTTTTGAAATG